GAGGGTTTTGTGGACTAAACACACACATATAAAACTGAGTATTTTTTAGTGCATTTTGAATACTTAAAATATGTTAAAATTAAAGAAAAAGAGAATAGAACAGAATCAACAAAACACCTCATCCTTTGCACACACTTTTAATGAAACCAGTATCTCATCCTGGTTGTTTTCTTATGTTGTTTTTGAAAAATGGAAATTATTCCTGCTAACAGGCACAACTGAAAATTAACTGTTCAAGCTCAAATGTTTTCTAAGTGTGCCAAGAACAGACCATAAAATGGGGAAAAAAAGAAAGAGCACTAATTACTTTATTTGCCTCCTAAAACTAAACTAACAAGTAAAAGCCTTTAAAGAACACCGGTCCGAAATACTGATATCAAAGGAAAAGACTGCTGATAATCCTGGATTCATTTGCAATGATTTATTCCATATTTTATTGCACAATTTATAAAAGAGAATTGCAGCCATTGGAGCCCTTGCACTGCTACAAGAGATTAAAAGATTTTCTTATCAGACAACTCAGAATTGTGATGATTCACACCTTCATTATTTCTTGAAACGCTCTAGCTTCCTACAGAAGGTACAGCAAAGGTTTTGCATGACTACATCCCTTAAACCAAACAGTGCTCGTGTCGTTTTCCCACGGTGCTCAGAACAAGCTAGGGGTGAAAGAGTAACCCTTTTAAGCCAGTTAAACAACCGTCATTATTTTAAAATAAATGAAGAGAAGCCGAGTTATTTACGACTCTGCGCTCATGTTTTATGCATGCCTTACCTCGGAGACATTTGATAGCCCCCCACAACACTTGGTTGGCTCTAAACTTCAACAAGTGTTTGCCAAGGAGGTCACATTGGCCTGTTCACACTGAGAAAGATGAGATTTGGAGACACAGGAAAGTAACAGGACAAATGGGAAGACACTGGAAAATTATTTTTTGCTGCCAGGGTTTGCACACAAGCATAAAACCTGGGTCAGGGAGAGCCCTTTCAGTTAGAAGTGAGTGCCAGCTCTTCTCACTGCCAGGTTAAATCAAGGATACGCCCAGCCTTGCAGTGCAGGGAGGACAGCCAGGAGAATGAGCTGCTTGCAAGGAATTTCTTGAAATCAGCAAAGAGGAGCCACCATACCCATCCAGAGTTTCATGGGATTCCCCAGCCAACCATCAGCACAGACCAGACTGGCCTCCAGGGTCTGCAAACAAGGTGGAAACTCAGAACCTGAGAGTAAGCACTGAAACCATGAGGGGGTGGTCCAGGGGAGACCTTCCTGTTTTGCAAACAGGTTTCTGGAGAGCAAGAGACCTGAGCAGCTGTGCTTGAGAACCAGCTGCACCCAAATATCTTTTTCTTCTCAATTGTTCCACAGCATCCTCGTGTGAAATTATATTTTGGTTCTGTAACAGGAAGATACTTTCTCCAGACGTGGCTTTTACCAGGAACATCAGTTCTGCCTTGGTAAAACCAGGGGAGGGCACCCATGACTTTGCAAAGTGTGATGAGGGGCTGTGTTACAAGTCCTGACTTAAGGACCTTGTGTTTTAACCCCCCCATTGGCCCCATTATTAACCTCAAATATGCCCCCAAATAAGTCAAGGAGCATCTCTTTTCTTTTGTGATGTCTCCCACTACACAACACTGAGCATAATTTAAGTTGGATAGTGGCAGTCGCACCAGAGATGCCCAGCCTGGTGCCCAGACTCAGGACTGACACTCTTTCTCCTGCACACAGTCCTGCAGCAGGAAGGGTGAAAGGTCTCCCTGTGCCCTACAGGACACAGACATGCCCTGTTCAGGAGGCTGAAGCTCTGTTTTGAACACAAAATGTGCCCAAATACACATACATTGGTGTCCATTGGTATTTCTGTTGTAATCCCATTGATTTGTGTGGCTTATGGAGACATGGAGCAAAGCAAAACAAAACCACACCTCTGTATCACCTTCTACCCTGGGAACCCCCAAAAAAGGCCTTTCAGTGACTTTCCAAACTCCATTTAAAGTTTCTTTTTAACTGTGAGTTTCATGGGTGAGATATTTAATAGAATGTGACCCCCCCCTAGCTCATTTAGCTTTGTAGACAGTGTATTGTGCTTGAGTCTCTCATCCATTCATGCACTTGTATTACCTCATAAAGGTATTTTTTAGAAATAAAACATGAATAGGGAGGTTTTTTTTTTCCTCAACCTTAGCGATTAGCTGGAGATTAGAATTCAATTGAACAGTTTAGTTAAATATGGGTTTGTGTGTGTTGATATGGCTCCCCATTGTCACGGCAGGTATGAGAGGTTTGGCAGTTTCCCAGCTTGGCTCTCCAGTGGGGGTTCATAGCAGTGCAAAAAGCAGTGTCCCACCTTTCAGTAAAACAAAATTAAATACTTCTCAGAAAATGCTTATTGAAATCTTGCCAGTTTTAAGAGACAGACATTTGCATGAAACTTATTGTTTGTTCCAAAGCTTTACCTTTTTTTTTTTTTTTGACAGAAATGTCTGGTTTTACTTGATTATATATATGCATATATGGTTGGGGTTTGTTCCCCCTTCAAGCTAGCTCTGAGGAAACAATATTAGAAGAAGAAATAATTAGGGAAGCCAACAGTCAGCTGCTTTCTCTGAAGAATATTGGGCAGATGACAAACCCACTACAACATTTGGCACACTATTTATGGGCAGGAAATTTTAACAGAGAAATGAGAAATGACACTCTGCAAATCATGCTGAAGTTCTATGAAAGTTTTTTTCCTGCTAAAACTGAAGGACCATAATGACAGACAGACAAAAATGAACTTCTGTGCTTTCTGTTTGTCATGATAGTAACTCATAATTTTCTTAGTGTGAGATATCTCTTTTTTCCGAGCAGTGACAACATTTACAAATGGTACTCTAAATGAGAAAGATCTTTGGAATAATCTGTTCCAGGTTAGGCTATCATTACCAATAAAATACCTCTGATTTGCACAAAACATGTAATTTGAGAGGTTTTTTTCCCCTGCTGATTTTTTTTTTTTTTTGCTCTTTTAATTCTAAAAACCACAAAAAATGCTCTCAGAAATATTCCCAGCTGCTCAGGTCATGCTCAGCTGTGCTGATACCAGTTTACAGAGAACACATTTAGCACATTAAGTCTTGATTACATAGCAAAATTGGAGAGCCAAACAAACATCTCCTCATGCATTAGGGAACTGCACAGCTACAGTAAGTCCTGAGGCACGACAGTGAAAGTTCCAGTTGGAAAATATATAAAGTAGAGGCAAAAAAACCCCAAATTTCTCTCTGTGTCCCCCATTAAGCAGCCAGCACTGGGTGCAGATGAGCAGCAGGGTGGTGCAGTCCACAGCTGAGGGATGGCACTGTGACACTTCTCCATCCTCTCCCACAGCTCTGCTCTGCCCCTGGAAGTCTGACCTTGAGTATTTCTGAGAGCATTTTTTTGTGGTTTTCAGAATTAAAAGAGCAAAGGAATTACATTAGGAAAGCAGGAGCAGAAAAGACATCTCCATTTCATTAATCCCAGGCCAGACTCTGAAGGAATGTGATGAAGGAAATGCAGAAGCACCTACAGAGCTCTGCAGCACAGCCCTGTTTCCCAAAGGCAGGGATCACAGCTGGGGTTGTGTTACAAACCCTGCACCCAGAGATCCTTCCTGCCATCATCTAGCCATGGCAAGGAGGAGCAGTGTTGCAGGGTCAGCTCTGTGTGCCACAGAAACCTGACTTCACACTCCCATCTCCTCCATGACCTGACTAACCTAGCAAGTGACAGCCTTGTTATAAATATCCAAGAATCATGAGGTGGTCACTTTCCCACTGTCACAGCTAATTAACTTCTAGGAATAACTATGGGAACGATTTCATTTCACCATCCCAAACGTGGGCCTGGAGTGAATGTGTGTATCTGACTGAATTGGCTTAGAAAAAACAGCCCTCTGTTAAACATCAGGGCAGGTATAAATTACTGTGGGTCTGTGCCACGTATTCAAGGCTCTGTGATTTGCTAGAAGCAGCACCAAGATTTACAATACAATTTTCAATCACTCCCATCACCATTTTCAATCTCTTGCACATGGTGGTACTTGTGATATCAAAGAGTTCATCTGTGCAAAAGCCTCAAAAAGTGACTGTGTTCCTAAAAAATAAAAATAAAGTGTATATAAACTATCATTTTAGTTTAGAAAAATCCAGGCATAACCTCATAATTAGGAACAGTTAAATTGCCTACTCTTTAGTCAACAGCACAAGGAGAAATTTATTTTGTTTAATAAACTGCTCTTAATGATTACTGTTTGTTTGCTTCCTAATCTCAGAGTAATCATGTACTGCAAGAGGAAAATGCTGTTGAGGAGGTTTGTCTCCAGAGCTTAAATGACAAAAAAAATCTCTTCAGTTTTCCAGTTTGAGGGAAACTTTTCTCCATTGATCTGTGAGCCTCCTGCCAGCTCCTGGTCAAAAAGGGGGACCTTGACTTATGGGTGTGGAGGGCTGCCAAGAACACGAAACCAGCACCTCTATCTCTGGGTCACCAGAAAGCTGTAAACTGGCTGGATACAGAGCAGCAATTGTTTGATAATAATTGTCCACCATACCTGCATCCTGTTCCTGTTCCAGGAGTTTACAATGGATCAATGTACCCAAAGTGTTTGTACCCAGATGAACCTGGGGCAACCCAGTTCAAAAGACTTTTCTTTCCCTCATCTGGAATGGCCAAAAAAAAAAAAAAAAAAAAACCCCAGCCATCTCTTTCCTGCTCTGTCCACGTGCTGGAGCACAGAAAGGACAGCACAGGTATGAGTGGCAGGAGGGAGGCCACAGCATTCATGATTTCCCTTTTGCAGGAGATTTTGGAGCTGCAGGGTGGCTTTCCAGGAACTGCCAGCTGGAATGCCAATGCAGAGAAGCCATGCTTTGCACAGAGACATATGTGCTCTCACACACATGCATAAAGCCTCTGAACTCACTGCAGGAAAGGTTTCACCCCAACAGCAAGATAAGTAAGGTGTGGAAATTACCTTAATGTAAAATCCATGTGGAGATCAGCCCCTTCGATTTTACCACGGTAGCAAGGTGATCCCACTCACAGCTGGGACAAATGCTATTGCTTCCACTTCACTATCTGGTGGCAAAAGCTATTTTAAATTCATAGACAGAAAAAAAATGACAGAGCTGAGAGGCTGAAGTTAGAGTGAGCCAAAAGTAGGAAGTGCTGCACATTGTATCCTAGAAACAGCTCTCTGTTCCTCGGTCCTTTTCAGTTATTCATTGGAGAAGGGAGGTTGGAAGAAGTGGTGCAGCTCAAGTAGATATCAGCTGAATTTTTGCCAAGTGGTCATTAATCCCTAAAATTTCAATCTTATTTTCATTAAAATTTAACAGCAGAGACATGCCCTGAGACATGCCTATAGAAACACAGCTGAGTTTGAGCTTCAAGAATGTGTTTATGTGTATATGGGTGGGAAAAAACAATAGCTGGATGGAACAGCCTGAGACAATCCCTCACCTACAGTACAAAAGCATTTAATTATATCATGTGCTTTTTATCTGTAGTTTGCACCAAGAAAACACATGTGTGAAAGACTGAATGCATTATGACTCAGGAAGCATCTCTTTATACAGATGAAGATGATGATGGTTTCCTCCAAAGAAAAAAAAATGGATTTTTTCTTCATTGTGGAAGAGAATCGTGTTATGATTTAATGGTCCTATGAGAAAGAGTGCTTTGTCTTTGAGAGTCAAACAAAGCTGAGTGAAAATCTAGAAGATTTAAAAGTAACCTTGGAATGATATGCAGATGGTGAAGATGTAGACATGCCTGAAAAAATATCCAGCCCTTCCTTATAAACCCTCTACCTTCCAAAACATATATCAAACTTAAAATGGAGCAAAATTTCTGCACATCCTTAGTGCAATCTAAAGTGACAAGGAATTCACCTGTTTTCTCTCCCCTTTGGAAGCAAGTCAAGATTGCTTTGGTGAGAGCAGCTAGCATGTTTTGCAGGTTGATATCATCTGCAGTGGGGAGCCAGTGATTAAAAAGACATCATTCTTTTGGGGTTTAGCTTTATCCAAGGCTGAACCTTCAAATAGAGATTCCAGCATGTAGGAGGGGAGGAAAATCTAATTGAGGAAAAGGAGAAGACTCTAGCTTGCAAATTCAGAACTATTCCATCAAAGATAACTAGATCATCTTTTTCATAGCAGGAATTAGAAGTGACAGATGGTCTTGCTGCTGAACCAAAGGTGTAGAAGTCCTGAGATTCAATCTGTATTTCTGGCTCTGAAACAGATTTCCTGTGCAAGATAGAGTAAAAAAAAAAAAAAAAAAAAGCAGCATTTCAGTAATGGCCAGTTTCTGCAGACTTCATCTGAAACAGATATAAACCCTGATTTTTAGAAGAATGGTCTGCAAGCTCCAGTTTACTTTCAGTGGGAAGGACAATGAAAAGGCACTGTGGAAAAGACAGCTTCTTTCTCACAGATTGGATTTTAAAAAAGCTGAAAATTTAAAAATGCGAAAGCGGTGCCAAATCTTGAAAACTCTGACCAACAGTGTTTCTGAGTGGTGGGTTTACATCTGTGAAATAAAGACATTTATCCCCTTTCAAAATTCCTGTGCATCCACAGGAAAATATGACCTCAGAAAAGAGAAACAGAGCAGAGGTAACACCAGTGGCAATACCTACAGGTAGGGAACCTTTTACATTTTCAATTACATAAGCCTGCCTTCAATTAAACCTCATCAACTTTATTCACATGAACTGAAATTGCCTATTATGGTGCTGAATTGCATTAAGCACTGAATTTGAATTTTATTTCTGTATGCAGATATATTTTTAGTTGGCTTATGCTTTTCACTCGTTTCTGAAAATGACAAATTGACTTCACTTTTTCCTCTAACATTAAAATAAATACCACCATAAAACTAGAACGCTCTAGCAACTCCATGCTTTTGACCAGAAATTAAAGTTTAGCAAAAAAAGTGGATGAAAACAGTGCTGATATTTGCAGGCTCTGTGAAAATCTGCTCAGGTTGTGCTGTACAAGACTCAGAGGTCCCAAAATACTCACAGACAGTCACAGCTGATGGGGGTGAGCAGGACATCCCTGCCCTGACATCTTCCAACAAGCTGAGGATGCTGCAGCACCGAGCAGAGGAGGTGGAAGTGATTTCTGGTGCACTCTGGTTGCTCCCATCCTGGTGCTTCAGCGAGGGGGAGGAGGAGGAGAACTCCAGCTGACATGGGAAAGGAGCTTGGGAGAGGATGAGGAAGCAAAGGGATGAGGGGGAGCAGCTCAAATTGCAGAGCAAAGGAATGGAAACCTTCAATGAGGACCAAAGGTCTGCAGAGAGAGAAGACAGCAACTGGGACAAGGAAAGGTGCAAAATGAGTCAGCTGAGGAAAGATGGCACTGGGCAGAAAGTAAAAAACTAAAGTGGAACCTGCGCTTCTCTGTCATCATCATGAATCACAAAAAAACCTCATGGGCTTCTCCGTGGAGTTCCCAAATAACCTCCTGGCTGATCAGCTTGTTACCCTAATTGGTAAAGATCTCTGCTTGGCATCTGAATTCTAAAACTGTTAAGGGAGCACAAAGGCATAAATTTAGCTCCAGATGATGGATTGCGTTTTAAGATTTTGCTGCATTTTAAAACTGAGCATTTTTTTGGGAAAAAGATAAGGTTGTGAAATCAAGTTTTGTAAGAATTTAGTTTATGCTAGGTTAGAGGTTCTTGTGCAGATTTAATCTGACATACCAAATGTGTATTTTGACACTGTCTTCATTCTTTAGGTATCTGAAAGTTACATGATCTTACATTATCATTTATACTGAATGTTTTCTTTCCTAGTTCATATGGTTTTTATGTATTTTCTAGTGTGAAGATTTTGCACAAATGGCATGTGAAATTCCTTAGACATATTTGGTGAAAATTAGCATCTACTGCTGGATCCCTTTTCTTCCACCTCAAAAAACTTCCATGCACCTTCATAAGTTTGCTGAATTCCAAAGCAAAAGTAAAAACCCAGAAAAAGATTTCCCTTTTTTATTTTTTCAGCAATTAAAAAAAACCCAATCTTTCTATCTGTGCAATTATTTGGAAACAATGCTCTTTGTAAAACAAGTCAAAAGTTACACGATAAATGAATGGAAAATAAAAGTGCAGTCTCCTGCCTCCTGATGATACTTTGCTATATTGTCAGGGAGAAGCTGAGCATTTGCTGCCCTCAAGTGGTCTCCTATTTTCTCTTCCTGCAAGCATTTACAATGATGCTTCATCCCTTTAACAGCTTGAGTTCAGACCCGGGGTTTTTTTGAAAGGAAATGGAAAGTTTGGAACAAACAGAAATCAGCTTTGATTCACAATACATGTGCTTCAAAATGTATAAATTTTTTCCCATTTAAATATTAGCAAAATCTCTGGCTTTATTTTGGATATGCTTCATCTCTGCTCTACTGCATTGTAGAAAAGGATGCTGACATACACAAACAGAAAAACTGTGGATTTTAAAAGACCTAAATGTTGTTGATTATTCTTTTGTGGATTTGAGTTTTGGGCTATGCAAAACAAACCAAAAAATACTGTCTGACAAAAATATTATTGCTTTAAAAGGCAACTGTAATGGAGAAAAATTGAGTTTGTCATACCTTTATTGAAGATCATGTTGAATTACTGACAATGGGCTAAAAATGAGTCAGGGAAAATGGAACTCCTATCACACTTCAGAAGTGGATTATAACTGACTCAGGAGCTAATTCAGCTGCAGCTCAGGCAGCTGGGTCAGATTCTAACTCAGCCAAAATGAGCAATAAGAATTGTGTCTTCACACTGCATCACAAGAAAATACCCTCTTTCCAAATATACTCCAGACAGAAACCTTCTGTAACAACACACATGCCTTGCTGCAATCTTCACCTACATTTCCAAAGCAGCACCAATTCCTATTGACTGCAGAGTGTTCAAGAGCTCCCTGGGCTGGAGCTGGTTTTATTTGTGCTCTGAGCCCAGGAGCACCAAGGAAATGCAGAACTGCCCCATTTATCAGGTTATTATTGAGTGTCATCTGTGACAGTGTTTGCAGGGGTCTCAGGCTGAGGGAAGAGATGAGGATTTGACTCCATGTTTCAGAAGGCTTGATTTATTATTTTATTATATATATTATAATAAAACTGTACTAAAAGAATAGAAGAAAAGGTTCTCCTCAGAAGGCTAGCTTAGCTAAGAATAGAAAGGAATGATAACAAAGGTTTGTGGCTCAGAGAGACTGAGTCAGCTGACTGTGATTGGCCATTAATTACAAACATCCAACATGGGCCAATCACAGATGCACCTGTTGCATTCCACAGCGGCAGATAATCATTGTTCACATTTTGTTCCTGAGGCCTCCCAGCTTCTCAGGAGGAAAAAATTCCAAGGAAAGGATTCTCATGGAAAGATGTCTGTGACAGTCATCAGAGCATCCAGGGCCCCTGTGTGCCAGGTCCCAGGGTGGTGTTTCAGACAGGCACAAAGCAAGCAGATGGTGCCTCAAGGATAATACACACTCTTCATTACAAGGAAATGCAACAATCAAACAAAATGCAAAAACTGGGGAATAGGATTGGGACAAAAGGAGTGAGGAGAGCAAGTTCCACATGGTTCCCCACATCTTTATGCAATAAAAAACATCTGCATATTAACATGAAATAACAGCTCTGGATGCATTTATATTTTCCCCCCTCTCCAATTTTGTCCTGATGTCCCCATCCCTCTGACATATGTTGCAATCCTATTGTGAAACCAGTAATTTTCTGAAATGGCTGAAAAATAGCAGGTGGGCATGACACGGAAAGGCTAAACACCATCATTTGGGACAGATTCCAGAGGAGATGTATATTGCACATACTGAATAGAAAAAAAAGGAAGGGAAAGGGAAAAAGGATGGCAAACAAAGCCAACTTTTCTATTTCCTTCTAAGATCATACATACCCTGAGCTAGGAAATCTGCATCCTCCTGGACTGCCACCTGGACCACCCTTGCTCCTGCCCCTCAGGAGCCTGGCTGGTGCCAGGGCAATGCCAGGGAGGTGTCTCTGCTCTTTGGGGAAGCAGCAGGAGCTGCAGAGCCTGACACAGCCAGCGCAGCACACCGAGCAAAATGTTTCATTAATGTGCAATTGCTGCTGGTGCTGCAATCCGAGCTGCCCCCTCACCCGACCCAGCCCTCAAAGCCCAGAGGTCACTCTGGTGGCTGGGCTGGTCTGCTTTTTACAGAGCTCCCTTTCCTCTCAGTTTGTGAAACCATCTTTTGTACTTTTGTGATGCCAGCTTTTGTACTTATTCCCGAATCCATGCAGGAGCACATGTCCAGTCTCAGAACACGCTGCTCTTCACAGCTGACAAAGTCAATCACATTTTGGGCTTGTTTGGCAATTTTAGCCACTGCCTCTCTTCCATTTCTCCCAAGGGGCAGAAATGAAGCCTAAGCTTTGGTTTACACCAGGAAGAGAAGCTACAGATATCTCCTAATTCCCTGCATCCTGCCTGGATACCATTTCCCAAAGACTTGTTTGTCTGGAGAAAAGTGTAACACCACAGGGCTGCAATAGGAAAGCCCATAAAGTTATGTGATGGGAAAACTTTGGGGAATTTCATGAAGCAACCAAGTGGGAAAGCAGAAGGGTTTAACACAATGTTTATAATTCCAGTCATTTTGTGAAAACATCCAAGCATTTATTCTAAATAAAAGCAAATACCTACTCTAGACTTACAAACACTCCATCTTTAAACTCCAATACTTTATGTTCCTATGACAGATTTTAAGATTATATAACTTGCCAAGTAACATAGACCTTGTCTCCATCACACCACACCTGGTTTTCTGCGCTAGCAGATGTCATGCAAATACCAAAACATATGTATCAGGAGAAGAGTCTAAAATGCCACCAGTGGGAAGATCAGCATAGTTGAGTTCATGAGCTGGAAACAAGAAAATCCATCTCCAGAGCTGCTTTAGTGCAAAAAAGCCCTCAGGATCCACAATGTGTAAGGACAGTGCTCACTGAGATGTCTGTATCATCCTCCTGTCTGTGAACAACAACAAAAATAATAATCTGCATTTAAAGAGAGGAGTAATCACAGAGTGGTTTGTTTTGCTTTATTTACTTGAAAGGTACTTATAAGTGAAATACAGCATGTCTAATTGTAGATGAAGGAGAAAATAAGGATTTTCTTCTGCTGTTATCAATGTTAAGCACAGGACAAGAGACAGGAGACATAGGGAAAACCTGACCTTCTACAGAGAAATATTTCTCCTCCTAAATCCTCTAGTTCCTAATTCAGGCATTGTCAATGCTGTTACCTGAAATTCTTCCCACTGCATTGCATGGCACTCACTGCTATGTAATCCTGCTCCTGGTTTTGCTATCCCCCCACCATTAATTCATCCCTGTGTTGTTTCAACCCTTCTTCTGCTTTAGCAAGGAAGAAGCCACAGAAAACAGTAAGGAAGGAGACTCACTCAATTTTTTCCCACTATATTGTAAAATTGAAAAGCCCTAAATGGAACGGTTTGATGGAAGAAGCCAAGAAACCAGCTTGTGTGTGCTTAGATGGAGAGGAGCAGAACCTGCAGCATCTCTGCAAATAATGTCCCTGGCAAGGAGTGAATATCTTTTCAGAGACTCTGGCTCTTTTGCTATTCCCTAATAAATATATGAGAAGCACAGCAGCAATGGTCAGCCAGGCAGAACACACACCAGAACAGAATTTATGATTGAACAGGCAAACAAAGCAGCATCTACATTTCTGAGTCTACAAATCTGGTCGAGCACTGGAGCAAGAGTAACAACAAGGAAACCCATTAACAAACCTATTCACAGGGAACAGGGCAGAGAGAAGAAAGGTGAAGCTTTTGTTGGGAAGAAAGGACATAGAAGACACACATTCTTGCTAGGAGTTAACACAAAGCCAACCATGAACTGCTGTGACAGAAAAGAGGTCTTGGACTAGAAGTTAAGCAGCAAAATATGAGCTGCATGCTCATGTTATGGACCCAAGAACTCACACATCAACACATAACTTGGAGTTGTTAAAAGCTCCTTAATTAAAGGCACATTTGTGGCTCACTTACTCCAGCCAACAGGAGAGGTTCTGGTTTGCGAAGACAGGCAAGATCCAGCCCAGGAAAAGGCATGCAGAGAGCATAAACTTGCAAGGAAAAAAACATGTTCTGAGCACAGACCCTTGCACACAACAAGCTGGCTCAGAGGGGAGGTGTTGCTGTGCAAAGCACCATTGCACAAGGCAATACAAAAACCAAGGTGAAAAACCCAGTGTTGCCCATGAGAAACAGTGACAGGGAGCCTAAATGTCCTCCTCTGGTCAGAAGGGGCAGGGTCAGGCATAAAATAAGAAATCAAAAGTCTCCATACTGGAAAGGATAGGAAGATTTAAAAGCACATAACTGGGGCAGAGTGAAAGTCCATGTTCCTCAACACTGTGCCCAAATATCAGGCAAGCAGCAGGAAAGAGAAGTCCAGAGTACCACAAAAAGCAGAAAGGTATTTAAGGTGGACAGTTCTACTTTATTCCTTGTCTTCTACTAAATATAATTTTAAGTCTTACTGTTTAATTTTGGAACACAACAGTGGTTCTGGCTAAGACACTGATTCAGGTCAATGGT